ATGAATCAAATTAGTCCATCTATCGGGTTATAACAATACCTTGTTTGCATACACTATTTACACATATTACCGCTATATTTGTATGTAAAATTGTCTTTATTTTGGCATGTAACCAGGTTTATGTGCGATCAACATAACGAATAATCGTAAATTGTTGGAACAAGTTTTAAAAAATTATTTTTTACAATATAATTTCACGAGATAAAACATTATTTGGTTCATGGAAAATGTTCATAATTCAATTTTAGAGTAAATATTATATTGTTTTAACTTTTATTTTAAAACAAAGGAAGACTCGTATGACATTAACTTTTACACGAAACACATTTGCACCCTTAAAAAAAGGAATGTACAGTATAATAGTTGCAGCAAACCTCATATTTGAGCTGATATTTTTCGTCGGAAGGTACATTATAGTCAAGGTGTGAAAATATATATTATAAAGGTCTAGAGTTGAATACGTGCAAAGCGTTTAAATATTTTCTGAAATTTCTCGAGGCAATTAGGTGAAACAAATTAAAAATTATAATATCTATTCCTCTAGTGTAAAAAAAAAAAAAAATGAAAAATGAACCTCACACCGTGAAAAATATTTCTACTTTCTAGGCCATTACTAATTTTAGACGATTAAGTTAGGAAAACTTAAAAATAAAAATAAAATAATAATCAAAATTTCTTCCAACCATTTAAAATAAAAATAGCTAAAATTAAATAACAATAAATATTAATTAATAATAGACTACATAACCAATATTGTATTCTTAATATTTGGGTTTATAATAACAATATATTTCGTTTTAATTTAATTAGGTATGTCGACTATACCTAACAAATAAATACTACTTGAGTTGTATAAATAATTAGTACAACGTCAAAAACGTCAGGTAAGTAGGTAAATTATATAATTTTGGTGTAAACTAGGTACTCTCTGATCAACAAGTGGATGTACATAATATGTAAAAATAGTTCATTTTTTTCTTAGTCAATAATAAAGAGAATAAAATGTCAAGAACATAAAAAAAGCAAATTTTATATTTAAAAACTTAATTACTTATCTAAAAAAAAAACCGTTTTTGTCGCTTTGTTGAATAATAACGAATTTAGTTAGGTAATAGCGTTTACACTCATTTGACTCTATGCCGTCGTAATGCTATGTTGTTATTATTTTTATATTTATACATATTATTTCTTTTAATCATATTATTATATTCATAACATAAGATTGTATCATTTTGAAATTTGACGATTGTTTCTAGTTTTATGATTCTGTAAGGTTACCTAATCGTATTTTAACTACAGGTGAGGTGGAATGGTAATGTGTATATACCTAAAATATCTAGATTACCTTGGCTCATGATTGGTTTATCTAAAAATAAATCAATCGACTCTTTTATTTTGTATTTAATTATATTGACAACATTACATTACTTTTAAATTTTCAAATAATAAAAATTCGTAATTTGAGATGTTAATAATTAAAAGATTACCCCATACTTAATAGTTAATATATGCATTTTGAGGACCTAAAAGTTATTGCTATTCTGTCCGCGTATCATTTAAATGTATTGTCGATCAGTTTATTTTTGTCAAGCAAAAATCAACCATCCAATTTATTTGTCATTGAAACGTTCAAACTAAATATGAATCCCAAAACATAAATTTATCACCAAGTATTTTGAAACTTGTTTATGCTAAGTCGAGTATTTGACCATGCAGATAGATAAATTAGTAAGTCGAAAAAAAAAAACCAAATCAAAAATGTTGGGCGAGGCAGTATTGCGCAACGCTATCATAATTTTTATATTTTACATATTAGGTAGGCGCATAGCCATAGCTATAACATTATAATATTTATGACTAAAGATAGAATTTATATGCAATGAAAAAGTGTAAAATATGCAAACAGAATGTTTTCAATGCTACGAAACAATAAATAGTTTGATATAAAAATTCATCACAAATACTATAGTTAAATATTTTACCATTAGTTTTGAACGATTCGTTTGAAAACCCTTCAATTGTATCATAATATTTAGCCCCTTAATTTTGAACTTAAGTCATAGCCCATGGACACTAGAAATTGTTTACTTATATCAATGTTACAATAAATTCCCGCACTAAATAAATATTTTTGTATCCTGCTTGGCAAACACTTGGCGTACTAACATTTGGCTATTAGTATTTACCTAAATTAACTCATTAACAGTCACATTAATAGTCTACATTAATAAGTCTATTAAGATGAAATCGTATCTTCTACTCGATTCAACCGACCATCTCTGTTTATAAATAGTTAGTATCTATATTTATGAAAAATAAAACGACAATTACAGATTTTCATTAGACGTATAAGATTTTACTGAAGTTTTCTCAATTAAATATTCAATAACTCTAAATATTTACCTATGCAATTATTTGTATTTTGATGTACCTACTATTGAGTTTAAGCCACTATTGTTTTAATAGTAATTATAATTATTATTGATGTTGCTACCTGCTAAGTTTATATAAGTTATTTGGTACTCCTCTGTTGTAATCGATAAAATACTGTGATATACAGGGTGTCCCGTGAGGATTTACTCATTGCGATATCTCCTGAAATAATGGAGACATCGTAATTATGTTTTTTTATTAAGACTCGCAGAGGTAAGCGCTACAAATATTTTATTTTTTAATTAAATTAAATTTTTTAGTAAAAAAGTTAAAAAAATTATTTTTTAATTTTTAATTTTTGAAAAAATTGAAGATAGCCATTCTATAGAGTATATTTTTGTGAACATTTTGTGCTTTTAACATTTTATTTTCATTAATCTCATGATTTTTAATAATTTTTTTAGTTTATTAGTAAAACGTCAATAAACTGGTTTTTGTCCGGGCGGCGAGTCCCCCTCTACGGCTAATGAGTAAATCCTCACGGGACACTCTGTATTTTTTTCTACAAATGATGTCGAAATGCAAGAAAACGAATGTTGGAAAATACTTTTCAATTTTTCAATATAACTATTTAGACTTAAAAAAAAATCGATATTTTATAGTAAAATAATAGTTATATTTATAAGCGCTGCATAATGACAAATAATTATTGTAAATCAAATATTTTGGTGTAGTTAAGTCATATTACGTCAGTTTAAAATGCACAAACTACGTTATCTTCGTGTTATATGTTATAATAGCTAGATTCATTTCAGGAGGGTAGGGACCTACTTAAAATATGAAAATGACCGATGCCATTATTAGATGAAAAACCAACCAATAATAATCTAATACCGACTTAAGTACATAACGAAGCCGGATGTGCATACGCCACGAGTGAGAAACGTGAATATAATTTTGTACAATATATAGTACCTATACAACATTATACCTACATGAGTGGCAAAGATTTATTTAGTAAAGTGCTTCCGTTTATAAACACTATTAATTTATCAAACGTCAAGTTGTGTAAATAAATTATCATCGGCAATGTCGATCGACGGAAACGCCACCGGATGATTCAATGATCATATTAATATAACCAACCTGTCTGGTAGTCGCGTAGGTTGAACTATTTTAATTTTAGTTTGCCATTTTATAACCACAGTGAAGTGAGATGGGTAATGCAAGTTCATTTTATGGAAACCTTTTGAAATCGTTAAAAACTTTAATAATTATTCCAAATATAAAAAAAAAAATGAAAATAAAAATAATTAATAAATCATAATTTTACTTTTAAAAGCATACAAAATATTAATTCTTATATTCTGTTTGTCATTAAAAAATCATTTTTTTTTATATGAATATTATTATTTTTTTGGCTGTCAAATGTTTGTATACATATGATTAAACATTTGTCAATCCTTTTTATTATTTCCAGCCAATTAAAAACAAAACTGCGCGTTAGTTAAATTATAGTATGCCACATAATAATATAATATATACAATTAGTGTTCACAAATTGTTGGTTTAAACCGTACACGGCAGCTAATTGGTGACCATAATACAATTTGATGTCATTAGAACATTGCGTGTAACAAGACGTATGCGGTTATAATAGCAACAATTGTAATTGAATAACCTGCGAGTACAACATAATATTATCTCCAACACTCTTTTCAGTTAGCTTAGGTACCTATTATTATTATAGTGACCGACGAATAACTTTTAACAGCCATTATTATAAAAAAATACGATATTAACATTGTGATATTATCACATCGCAATGACATCAATGTTTATCGTCTATAATATATAATATTTTAAATAAAACAATATTATTATTGGTGGCATGAAGTACTTATATGACGCTTTTCAATCTGACTTACGGTTCGTTGATGGCGGTGGTGGCGTCGTCCATTTTAGACGGATCACACGCGTGCTTTAAGACGATTATAGTTCAATAAGTATATAATATTATATTGTATTCTTATTAGTCAATAGATAAATACGACGTGTGAATTGCCCTGCGTTAAGAAAACGGTAGGCACTGATTTATTCCAATAGTTAAAATTATATTATATTATATCATATTATTGAAAATTGTATTATTATAGTGGCATCGTTGAAAAAAAAAATAATAAAATTGAAAAAAATCGAAAACCGTCGTGTCCGTCGTACACCAACCGAGTCGTGAAACTGGAGAATATTATAATACATGTAACTAATATACAAGGCAGCTAATTGGTGATTATAATATAATTTGATGTCATTAGAACATTATGCATGTAACAAGACGTTTGCGTTTAAAATAGCAACAATCATAATTGAATACCTGTGCGTACAGCATAATATTATCTCCAACATTCTTTTCAGTTAGCTTAAGTACCTATTATTATTATTATAGTGACCGACGAATAACTTTTAACAGCCTTTATTGTACAAATACGATAGTATAGTAACATTGTGGTATTATCACATCGTAATAACATCAATGATTATCGTCTATAGTATATAATATTTTAAATAAAACAATATTATTATTGGTGGCATGAAGTACTTATATGACGCTTTTCAATCTGACTTACGGTTCGTTGATGGCGGTGGTGGCAGCGGCGTCGTCCATTTTAGACGGATCACACGCGCGCGTTAAGACGATTATATATTCCCCAAGTTAGGTATATAATATTACCTATATTGTATTAATATTAGTTAATAGAAAGACGACTTGCGAATTGCCCTGCGTTAAGAAAACGGTAGGCACCGAGTTATTCCAATAGTGATAATTATATTATATATTATAGCAAATTGTATTAGTATAATATAGTCGCATCGTAAAAAAAAAAATAATAAAATTGAAAAAAAATCGAAAACCGTCGTGTCCGTCGTACATAAACCGCGTCGTGAAACTGGAGAATATTATAACACATGTAATATAAAACTAAAATATATTGTTGCTGAACGCCGGCTGATCAGTAAAATATGTTAATACGGTACGCCGGTTGTAAGGATTCTTTCCCGAAGACCTTGCGTAACACCTTTCGCGGTCGGTATTACATATTATACAATAGTAATATATTTTATCGTCGTGTGAAGGTGGGGAGGGTGCGAAATCCTTCACGAAACGTTGTTGTTCCCTCTGCCTCCCCCCACGCATTGATCTATCAGAAAACCCTAAGACCCGACCGCAGTAAAGTTCGATGGAAAAAGTAAATAGCAAATCGAGTCGCTCGTTTCGAAAAAGCACACTCGAGTGTCGTGACGGCCGAGCACCACCTGCAGGAGTCGCAGGTCGTGGAGAATATCAACACTATATAGCATCTAATATAATAATAAATATAAATATTATGCAACTCCCGATGTCGCAATGGTCGCTGCAGTGAACCATAATATTACCTACAGAATGTCGTGCGCGTATTGCAGGCTCAATAAAATTGTTTGTTTTGGTTTTAGAAAATGTATCAGCAAGACAGACACTATAATATAAGCTGTGACAGTATCGCGTGATAGGCAAAACGACTGCTTGACCGTGTGAAAATAGTTCGGCTCCCATGTAAAGATGCGAAGACAAAACCACTACAACAATATTCGAAATTTGTCGGCGATACGAAAATTTTGTAATTTTGTCATACTATATAGGTATCTAATATTTCCTAATTAAATTAATTGTTATTGTTTATCCACGGTACATTGCAGCCGGCAGGAGATTTATTATAATTTCTCAAAGTTATTTCATTATGTAGGTAGATACGTATTTATAATCGTTAAAGAACTCTAAACTTGTAACATTTAACTTCTGTTGCATATATTATGGTCTATGGATAAAATATACAGCATACAGCGTAGAAGCACAGTACCTGCATACAATGACACTAACACTAATCATCATTGACGACTAACACTTTATGGTGACAACGAAATTGCATATTTCCTAAATATTTTCCCTTATTAAAGTCACAAGTCGGCCCCTTAAACAATTTTTTTCGTTTGAAAAAATAAAACAAGTCCCACATAATAACAAAAATATTTTTAATATTTTGAGAAGACTGTAAGTTTGGACAATGCACCAACGAAGCATTATTTGAACTACTTATACTGTACACAGACACAAAAAAAAAATAAAAACACACATCATTGTATCTCAATCAGAATATAAAATATGTGTAATTAAGCTAGGTGAATCAAACTGTAAACTCAAAGTATCAAAACGGTGTATAGATGACTTTCGTTACTTTTTTTTCAATTATTCCTTCTAAAAATGCGTAATATATAGACCTCAGTTGTACTAGAATGTACTCTACAGAAGAGCACTTAGAAATACATTTTTTTTTTTTTTTGACGGGGTTATATATTTGTGGTTATTATTGACCAAAGAAAGACATAAAGGATAATAAATTAATTCTTTTTGAAAAATTCGGGAGCTGGGAGGGTTATCCCCCCCCCTCAGTAAGCCACTAGAATTCTATGTAGTAGTTTTGGTGACCACATTTTCAGAGGCTTCTAGCTCGTAACGTAGGTAATTTTTTTTTAACACGATATTGTTGTAAACAAGTTCAAAATGTTATTTGTTGTAAGCTAAAATTATTTGCGATTGTATAAAGTTTTTAATTAGAGCCTGTTGTCGAAATTTATTTTAAAATAAGTTTTAAACCCAGTTGCAGGCGAAACAAATATAATGTTGTATTCTTTTTTTCACTTTATCTGTATCTAACATCTTAAGCAAAAGTATAAGCCGTGTCGTCTGTTGTTACGCTCATTTTTGCTCATTTTTCTATGTTAAACAAAAACAGTTTATTTCAATTTTCCAAAGTGAAGAGTAGTGGAAACAAAACTTATAACAATTTAAAACTTTAAACACAATTTGGTGCTTTACATTTATTTGGTGGGGCATGACACGGGTAGGATCTTAAGATACGATTTAATGGACACAATTTACGTATATTACTAAAATACTGTATTCCGACAGTGGTCATATTATTGTGTTATAAATATATTATTTATCACACCTCTTAGGGCCGTTCTTACGATGTCCATTAGTTAAGTTTCAGTTAAGACTAACCGGCGGAATCCTATCGGAAACACAAAAGAAATTCCGACGGTTAAGCGTTATCAGACAGACTTAACCTGACATTGTAAGAACGGCCCCAATAATATTATTAGTGTGCTGTTCATTTTTGATCGAAAACGTATATATTTACAAGGTTAGTCCACACAAGGTTAGGTTACCAGAAATAGATTTAAGCGTCCATGGGTTTCCACCAAAGTGCTCTGTACAAACGTTTGTTTGTCATTATAAAATGAAAGCCTATACGGCCGTTTCGTGACGGAGACGGTCAAAATACTAACCTTTAGCACTACGCCTTGGAGTGTCACGCCCATATTTATTTTATTTAATAATAAATATGTGGGCCGGGTGTAAGAACTCTGCTCAAGAAATTAGTTGAATTACGACTCCGGGGTCTATACTTATAGTATGATAAGCCTTACCCTGAGTTAACTATATAGCACCTGCAGATAAACCCTAAAATAGGTACTTGAAATGACCTTCCAAGTGGAAGGGGCGATATTAGGGCTTGGGCCAACGACCAAGCGAAGTTATACAGTGTAGAATGATAGTCTAATTCTAATGCTATGGCCTATCGAGACTCGTATTTATATAGAGTCTACGCTGCAGTGACTAGGAGGTAGATCAAATTTGTTGACCAGGTGTTGTTGTCGGCTCCCTCGTGGCTTAACTTGTTATTGGCGCTCACAAGTACTGTGCTGATTTCTTAGGATTGATGTGCTGGTCTGGTCCACGAATGTATTGCTTGTGGAGAATATTTGTCGTTACATTGGACACCATCGTTTCTAAGAACCGACGGGCAAGTTGTGTGCGATGATATGTGGAAATTAAATGTAGGTTATAAAATAATATCCATTTTGAAAATAAATATGTCTTTTGTATTATGTATATTATACTAAACACTTTTGTGCAGGACAGCGGTAGTGGCGCGAAGCTAAGTAAAAAACAAAATCGACTATAGCCACTAAGGTGTATTAACAGGAGCTAGAGCTAGTTGTACCATTGAAAAACTGTGCTAGTTTGTACTAATCACTTGGCTCGCTCTACATGGCAAATGTAAATAAATCGATCAGAAATATTGTACAAATGGGAACGGGGGAACTCGCAAGCAGATTGGATGGATGGCTTAAAAGTTACAACCAAGTACTTGTAAGTCCGATTTTTCGTACCTATGCGACGAAAATATCGTAAAATATAACATTGCCCCCCCCCCACCGATCAGCCGCTTATCCATCCCACTATTGTCGTCGCTGTGGCGATTAGTAAATCGTAATACAAAATACACAATATGAATATTAAAACGAATAATAATATATTATGATATATTACATTATTTAGGCAAACGTGTATAATATATAAATAAAGAAAGCATGGCCTTGAGTATTACTAGGTTTATATTTGACGACCGGTTTTGAGTTCAAAATTCATTTTCTGTAACTAAAATAATATATGTACGTATGTGTTCTAAAAAAAAATATCACTTAATAATATTATAATAATATTCTATCATAACGCATGTTATAATTTATTACTATTGACGTAACAATATGACTTACAAATAATAAGGTATCAACAAACAATGTTATTCCAACAAATACATTCCTCCAAACTCCGTGAAAATAACGCCAAGTATAAAAAAAAATAGCTCTTAAAGTTGTGTTATAATTTTGTAGCTAAGTCTTTGAACTATATATATCATTTAAGTTATAATAGTCTGCTAAATAATTCAACTTAGTTTAGTGACTTAAATTAAAAATTTGAAAATACTGATAGTACATACTACATAATAATATAGCCTAGTATCGTTGAAACAGGTACCTAGTGTATTCTGTGTATTACTAATCGAGTGTTTCAAATTCGCCAAGCTAAGATAAATATTTTTAGGATACTATTTTAACATAAATTATATCTGTAGTTCAAAGAACTAGCTATAAAATGATATCAAAACTTTAAGTGGGTATATTGTACCTAATATTATAATATAAAACATACCTAATACTGTGCACTAAAAGTTGTTTTTTTAATGCAACTTTTAAGCTACCGACAACATACCAACAACTTTTTTGGCTATATTTTTTATTTTTACAAGTAATAAACAATCTGTATCAATTATACTAGACACAATAAGAAGATGTGATAAAAGTTAACAGGTCATGAAGTTTTGTCGAAAGAAGCCACCCATTGATAACACTTTCTGTTAGCTTGATAATTTATTTAATTTAAGAGATCACGATACCACTTACTCTTCAATCGTCTCGGAGGATTTCCAGGTATTGTGGGAGTGGCCAAGTTTTTTATTATTTGATTTGGATGATTGATTAAATGGTAATGGAATCTTTTATACAATATTTTTGATCCATCATTTATTGTTTGAAGTTTGAAGTCGGTGTGCAGTGTGACACGTAGGATAGAGGCGTTCAGAGAATAATTTATTTAAGAGGGAGGGAGGCTATTGAGAGTGCATAGCCACTCCACTACTCGATCCAGCCTCCTTAGTTGAGCAATATGTCTATTTGTAATTTGTCGGTGGTTTTTCCTGTGTCATTAAATAACTATTGAGA